GCGCCATGACAATGAACAGCGTAAATATCAAGTCCACAGTCGACTTGTCTGGGGGAAAGGCATTCAAGATCGAGGTCGAAGTCGCACGTCTAGGCGTGCAATGCAATTGCCAAAGCCTCAATCACAGACCTTGAAAACCCCCAAATCACACTCAGACACGCGACTAAACGACGGCAATGAGTAGTGATTTGTGATCTTGAGATGCATAAGAACTGTCAAGCGCGCTTGTGGAAAGGGGAACATCGTGACTTACCAGAACCGACATGCTCAGCATCGACCGCAGGGGCAGCTTGGGAAGAGGAAGACATGATTGTGACTGTAAGACTGTGAGGTACACAGTTAGATATAGCTCATGCCATGTGTAGCTAATGTCGTGGACTTATTCGACTGTGGTGATAGAAAAGAAGAAAAATCCAATCGCAGCTGTTGTCCATGCCCGAGTAAAAGCAGAAAAAAAGGCAGCAGAGGAGAGAGAAAGTGAGAGGGGGAGGCACAGTACATAGTTGAGGGCAGGGCGGATCTCTCTCTGCTTGCAAATTTCAAGATTTGCACGCATCGACATGAGCTTTGCACGCACTGTGTCCTGACGACGACAGTCGATGATGGCGGCGGCACTTGCAACTTATACGCCGACTTAGTAAGAGCAGTCGCCAATGTTGAAGTCATGATGTCTTGTCTTTCAGGGGTAATGTTTACATGTGGTGTTATCCACCAGCCACCCCCTGATATCCATAAATGAGGCTATACAAATTACAGATAAATCACTACCTCCTACCCTTTTCCGCATCTCGTTATCTTCCATCTTCAATGATTTATAGATCATTGAAAATACAACCAAAGACATCAACACATCACCTCAACATCCCCTTCTGCAAGCTCCATGCCAAGACCTACATGTCACCCCCCTAACTTGGAAAGAGAAGCAGTTATTCCTTCTTCGCAAACCCTTTCCAGACCTTACTTTTCAGGCAGGATTAAGAAAGAAATCGGCAAAACCTCCTCGTGACTCACTGGCCCAATAGGGTTGTTTTAGGAGCAAGTTAGAAGACTGGATAAAAAAATGGGCAGAGATAAGGTATCTTATCTGCCTGTTATACTGATAAGAGACACGCCGAGTATATCGTTGACGTGTCGCGTGGCGTGGGATAGGGAAAGGTTAGTTCGTTGTACCGCCAGTTGTATATTAATACTATGAACATGAGAAATGAACGTATTGTTATGCAGGGCACGGGCGGTAGAGCAGGAAGTTTAACTTTGACTCTCCACCGTCTTGGGATGGTGGTCGGAGGCAGGAATATCGTGACTTGTTGCCTGAGTATGGCTAGGAGAGATGCTGTCGCTGAAGAATATGCGCCAACATATATCATAATCTTCCCGCCCGTTCTAGCCGTATCCATCTTTCCCCGTGACCTCAATTTATCTTGAAAGCGCATGATACGTGTTACGTAAGACCGAGATTCTCATTCAAACCAAAGCCCTGACTGGCCGGGCTGCTACCTATAAACATCAACACTGACAAAGCGATGTGGGAGCTTGGGAGTGAAAGTCATACATAGCAAAAAGAGTAAATGAAGCGTAAAATTTATAAGAGGCAAGCAACACGGTACATCTTTCAAACCACGATACCGCCCCTCCAGCCTTTACCATTTCCCACACCACCGCTGCCGCGCCCTAGACCCTATCATATCCCTTCAACTCTCCAAGGTTCCACCCCTTGGTCTGGAAGTGACGGGCGATCCATTGATCACCCTCATCGTCCTCATCCCCACACCCAGCCCTCATCCCTATTTTTCACTTCCGCCGACATAACCACCTTCATCCCGAACCTCCGTCGAGGCTAACCCGCCCACAAAGGTCTCACTCGACTCGAGCCAAGAAAGACACCGCCGTTGATATCATCCCCCCCCCCATAAACACATCAGTAATCCCAAAATCCCCCCATCCCAAGACCGAATCCTCATATCGCCTCCATGCTCAATCCCCTCCGGTGCGACATCCTCCCAAGCCAGAAAATCCCCAACCTCTCCATTCCCAATATGACCACCCTGGACAATCCCGAGCCACATCACTGAGAGGTAAGGTAGCTAGGTGACAAACACCTCCGCTTCACTACCTCTGCCGATCCCCCTGGCCGACCACCTTCTGACGTCAACGTCTGTCTCACGCAGGCCCTCCCCAGCGCTGTCTTGCGATGGTGTTTTCCGTGGCTTCTCCGCTATTTTCGACCACAGGAGGCTGGTGGGTCATAGCTCAGACGGCCGTTACAGGCGGCGATCATGTCGTTGGTGCTCATATGGACCAGCCGATGGTGACCCTTGATTAGGCAGTTGACCCTGCACCTGGGGCTCGGGGTCCTTGTACCGGTGACTTGGGAATCTGAGTATCTGGCTCGTTGGCTTCCACTTGGGAGCCAGGGTCTTGCGTGGGTGGCAATGGACTGATACCGGTCTGAGACAACAGGGCTAGACGGCTGCTTTGGAGAGAGCCATTTCGGGGTCGATGATAGTGGTGAACATCGAACCCCTCCTGGAATGTTGGACCACGGCAAATATGGAACTGATCAGACTGGAAAGTCTGAGTCTACACTGTATCCGGCAGCTCGGGTCAGCCCCAGCACGGAACAACAATCGTGAGCCTGCAGCAGGAATCCAGCTCCTCGACCTTCATGGTCTTGGACGTTGCGGTACAGACACCTGGCCAGCCGGGGAGGGGGATTTCTGGGGGCACAACCGCATCCCGGCAACGCATCGTCCGCCCAGGTGTTGATCCAGTGGTAGACCGAGACCTCTCCGACAGAGATTGTACCGGGGACCGGGGTGAGAACCTCCGCTTGTCTCGTCCCAGATGCTCTGATGGGTGCAGCGCAATCCTCTAGTGCTGGTAGGTGCCCGGTCATTGCCGTTGGGCGTTTTGTGAAATAAGGGGTATATATAGGTAAAGACAGTCGAAATCGCTGAGAACGAGGCACCCATGTACTTGTACTGCCGGTGGCCGTTTCATCAACCAGTCTCTGTGGATGCGTGTAGTCTCCTTAGTGCTGATGAGGGAATGCCATGCTTCGGCATAGAGAAGATAATGGGGGGCTTTGATACTGCCCCATTCAAATGCTCGGTATGTCTCGTCAAACTCTGGCTCTCGAACGATTCTCTCAGCAATCATCCTGGCCGGGAACCTGCATTGCTCTTGGGCTAACTCCCTGTCAATGGCCACCGGGGTAGGTGAATGATGTAATCGACACCAAAACTGAGGCGAGGTTTAGAGGGATCATAACCTGTGGGAGATGGTAGAGGTGGTGGAAGAGAAAAGAGTGAAGGCAGCCATGAAAGCAAGACAGTAATCCCTCCCGCAAGGACCCCGCCCGCGATCAAAGGCACCAAGCTCCTGGTCAACTTAACACGCATGGAACCGCCCGTCGAGGGCTGGCTTGCTGCGTAGAGAAATGAAAAGACTTTTATCCAGAGTGAGCAGTTTTCCCACAACCTTTGTTGGGGCGTTCGGCCCCCAAGAATAGACTCCTTCCGCTCGAGTGCCTAGGTTGGTTGGTAACGGCGATAGCTGAGGGTACAGTTGGGTTTTTGAAGGTTGATATGCCGGAGAGTACCGCTGATGGTGATGTGAAGGAGCAGCATAGATGAGTGATAGTCGCCGTCCGGTGGCTCCTCACAGAAAGATGGATGGGATGTGTCGACTGGTCGAAGGTTACTGTGATCCAGAACTGTTGATCTTGGGTGCTTTGTATCACCACAGCCCTTAAGCCCTTGACTGATGCTGGCGTACCCACCAGACACTCAATCACCAATCCCTCCTTTTCTCTCCACAGGTTCTCCGTCAGCATGGCCCGGCTGGCAATGATCAAGAGGACAGGATGGTGAAGGCTGAGAGGTAGATTTTAGATCTCCTCAACACACACAAGTTGGCCCGAGAACAGGCACACCAGAATGGAAAAGGCATACCTACAGGCGTGGATGAAGCTGTGATTTCCAACGGAGCACAAGAACGGCATCAGAATGGCTCCTCAAAGACATTCTGCTTTGCGGTGGTCAGGGCCTTGAATGATATCCTTAAACTTGTCGAGACATTCATCCACCCCTGGAACTAATTCCACCACACGACGGCGACGAGAACCACGCAACTGATTTCGCCGTGAAGTCGGTTTTGCCAGAAAAGATCCTCAAACCCATTACCAGCACTCATCCCACCAACACGACCAACCTCAGTGAACATTACCGAGCACAATATTCGACCCCGACATTCCGGTTCACCCCAAGACAAGCCCCCAGCCCGAGCATGTTACTTGTGTGGCCGCCCAGCCAGTCCCAAGCCAGGTGAGAGCCAGGAAACAGTCTCGGGCTTTGGACGCGGTCTGTGGTGCCTAAGGTAGGTAGGTGAATGGTGGTCAAGGTGAGAAGGTGAAAGAAAGGAAAGAGGTTTTTGCTATCACGATGAAACCAATTGTTGGTGATAGAAATTGAGATATATATATATATATACCCTTCTGTCTGTCTGTGTCTTAACGTGAGAGCAGACGTCAGGCCTTGAACACAAATGCTCAGAAGCAGGAAAATGATGCTGAAGACAATGTGAACGTAAAGATGAGACTGATGTTGGGAATGAAAACTTCTAGCTGTGAATGTCCCAGGCCTATTATACCCATCATTTACCCTTTCCCCCTCCCCACCAGGCCATAACCGCTGGCGCCATCGTCGGTGCTTGTCTTGAAAGAAAACCTCCGTTTGGGCTATGCATGTGTTCGCAAGCATAAAGCAGCTGCACCGAGCGTTTCCATCTGCCATGCACCGTCTGTTTGGGATGTGTTTGTCCTCTGGCATTAGCGTCCCCCGCACCGTCACGCATGGTCAAGAGACCTTCAGAGATGCTGCAACCCGGAAAGAAAGAAACGCCCTGTTTTTACTCTATGTGTAACATACCAGTTCGCCACCAAACCCAGTACTCCTCCCTTCCCGTAACCTCATGATCAGTGTCCCATCGGAATCCTCATCCTAAGAGACCTCCTCCACCATCCTGCCCGAAGCCAAACCACCCTTGATGAAAACCCTCCCGGCAGGTCCAGCCAACATCTCATCCGGAACAGACACCTTGCTTCCGTCTTTATTGTTGACCCACCTCACAAACATGGGATCAGCACGGGGAGCAGCCTCGGCGGTGCCATCCGGGGTATCATACCCACCCGCGGCAAGAAGCGCATTCTTCCGGTTTGTCTTAGGCGCTTGCTTCTTGAGGAGCTTGTTGATGGTTTCCATCTAACACACCATGTTAGTTATGTTCTCAGTAAAACAGACAAAGGCAAACAAACCTTGACCTCCTCATTCCGCTTCTCGCTCAGATTCCGTCTCCGTCTGGCCATCTCGGCACGTCTCATGGACAGCTCCTCGGCGGTGAAAACCTTCTTCGCTTGGACCTCATCAGACAGCTTAAGGTACTCGTGAGATGCCTCTCCAAGCTTAGCCCTCTGTCTGGCCGTGAGTTTTGACAGATCTGGTGTCCCTCCTCTGCTCCCCAGCTCGCTGTCCAGATCATCATCCTCCCCCCCTTCAGCATCCTCATCATCAACCACAATCTCCTCCTCTCCCTCGGCATCAATATCCTCCTCCTCCCCCTCAGCATCCTCCTCCTCCTCCTCCTCCTCGTCTTCCTCCTCCTCCTCTTCCTCGGCATCAACTCCCATGGTGATATCCTCCGGCTCGCTCTCCAGCTCACTAAGCTCCTCATCATCGTCATCATCAGCGTAGTGAATAGCCGGTTTAGCCTTGACAGGCGTGGTCTTTGCCTTGTTGGCAGGGACAGCCACGCCCCTCTGAGGCTTGGTGACCTTGATAGCAGGCGGCGGAGGAGCAATGGACATGTCGGCATCCTCATCATCGTCCTCTTCCCCTTCAGCATCAATGTCCATGTCATCCCCATCGTCCATATCCTCATCTTCATCCTCTTCTTCTTCCTCCGCCTCTTCGTCTTCCTCATCGTCGTCATCTTCCAGGTCGTTTCGGAGACCGGAACGGTTGCTGTTTCCCTTAACTTCAATCTCCTGTTTCGGCTCCTCCTCTTCCTCGTCTTCGTCTTCCTCCTCCTCATCTACGTCGTCGCCCTCGCTACTTTCGATAACATAGCGATTTCCGCCTCCTCTGGTCCGATTCCCTCCTGAAGATCCTGGCCGGGTGGTGGAGGTGCTGGGGATAGCTTTCCGTTTGCTGTTGTTGTTGTTGTTGTTGTTGTTGTTGTTGCTGCTTGTCCCGCTGGTGGCCTGGCGAAGCTTGCTAGATGAGGTCTTGACTGTTAAGTGGATATGCTGGTCGGCATCTGCAGGACCGGTGGGGGAGGATCCGGGCCTCCGCGACACAGAGGCGATGCCGTTTCCTGAGCGGCGGTTGGACGAGCGTGACGACATGGTGCGCTCGTTATCCTTGTTATCTCTGTCGGCGAGGTCAGTGATTTTCACGGTGGCGCGCTGAGCGGCCGAGCGACGCGGCCGGGACGACATGATGGAAATGATGCGTGTGGGTGATGAAACGTGGGAGTGAAGAGTGAGAGTGAGAGTGAGAGTGAGGGCGAGAGTGAGAGTGAGAGTGAGAGTGAGAGCGAGAGTGAGAGTGAGAGATGAGGAATGTTGACAATTGATGATGTGGCTGGTGGCTGGCTTTGTTGGTCGGTTGGCTGATAATGCCCTATGGATAGTAGCGTTGATGTGTGGAGGTTGCGAGAGAGACAAGGCACGTCGTCCGAATAAGCTTGCCTCGCCTTGCTTTGCCTTGCCTATGCCTTGCCGTGTGTGGGCGGCGTGTGGTGTGTGATTTGCGACTGTGTGAGATGGGCGCGGGCGTGCCAATGGGCAGAAAGGCTCTCGACCGGAATTTGAGCCTTCCCCAATTCATTCGCGGAGCTGTGTGTACTTCTTTCCAACCGTTGCACTTGGTCAAAAAGTAGGTTTCACAAGGTGTTTGCCGGCTCCGGCTCCGACAGACGCCGCCTGCACTTCGAACTGTCGGTCGTCTCGTCCCATCTCTCTCACTCTCTCTCTCTCTCTCTCCCTGGAGGCGCGATGCAGATCCCAGATCACCCCAGAGAGAAGAGAGTTGAGGCCGGTCCTGTTTCTCAGGGGGCATAACCGCCACCATCATCATCACAACCGTCCACCCACATTCTCATCATCTCTCACTTGAATCGCAAAAAAGATCACTCACATTGGGTGTTTTGCGACGGACTACCTATCTCAACGGCTTGCTGCGTTCTGGCGGCGGTGTAATCAGCAAGGCTGTTTCTCAATGGTGGCTCTCTGGGCTGTCGACGTCATCTTTCATCAAACGGACCGTCTGGGCACTCAATCTCGATTGACATACCAGAGTATTTGTGGATCAGTTGTTCGATGGCGACACTCTCACAGTGAGCGGCAGGAACACATAAATGTCTGTCAGGCAAGACAGACACAGCAGAGAGTATGAGGTGATGGTACAAAAATGACAAAAAGTACACTCGGAATAAACGAAATGATACACCGCAAAGAACACGGCAAAAAATGACGTCTTCTTCTTCTGTCTGACAGATGGAGCTCGACTCGAATCGTATTGAGCATATACAAACACTTGACCGTGATTGATGGCCGGTGGGATAGTGGATCGTGGCCCAGCGGACGACCCCAGAATTTGGCGTCTCTAGTTGTGGGGCCGTTGCTGGGTGCTGTTATGAGTGGGGTCACGTCCAAGGCGCCCAGACCAGGCCTATCCCGGCACCAGCGCAGTTGGGCGAGCCTCGGTAACAATTTCACGGCCAAAGTGACGCTGTTGTTGATGACGGCTGTCGGTTTCCATCTTTCTTTATTTTCGACTCTCGTCACACCGGCTGTTCCTCTTACTCGCATCAGCCATCACCACAGCCAGCAGCATGACCGACGCCGACAAGAAGCCAGACCCAGAAGTCCCCGCGGCCACAGAGCCCGCCGTGCTCGAGACGCCCCCGACAAACATCGAGCCATCAACAAACACCGAAGCTGAGTCTTCCACTGCGCCGGCGCCAGAGAAGACGCGAGAAGCCACCCTCGAGCAGGCGCGCATCTTTCTCAAAGACACCGAGACCCAAAAGGCGACCGCAGCACAAAAAACAGAGTTTCTCAAGAGCAAAGGGCTGTCGGATAGTGATATTCAAGACCTCCTAAAGGAAGTTACCCAAGATGCGCCAGTACGTTTTTCTCTGCCATATTGCTTACCAGCATATATCACACTAACCTTTTCATCTCCCCCAGCACCTCGACCAACAACCACCCCTAACCACCACCACCTCCGTCCTCCCAAAAGAAGACCGCCCCCCCATCGTCACCTACCCCGAAATCCTCACCACCCCCTCCCGCCAGATAACACCTAACCAAGCTAAGAATCTACTCCATCACTGTTCTAGTCTTACAAAAGGGATTGACGAATT